TTGAACCAGGGAGGTGGAGGTTACAGTGAGCTGAGATCACACCACTCTACTCCAGCCTGGGCGATAGAGCGAAACGCGTTTCTCACACAAAACGCACACGCACACACAAAAGTCTAAACTGCGCACACAAACACAAAAGTCTAAGACCTGGGCCAAGAGTGGTGGCTCACACCTGTAATCCCAGCACATCGGGAGGCTGAGGTGGGGGAATTGCTTGAGTCCAGGACTATGAGACTAGCTTGGGCAACATGATGAAACCCTGTCTCTACCAAAAGCTTTTTTAAAAAAATTAGCTGATCATTGTGGCATGTGCCTGTGGTCCCAGCTACCAGAGTGGCTGAAGGAGAGGATCGCTTGAGCCTGGGAAGTCCAGGTTGCAGTAAGCCTAGACTGTGCCACTGAACTCCAGCCTGGGCAACAGAGCAAGACATTGTCTCGAATAAAAAAAGCAAAGTAAAACCTGAGAGTTAAGGCCAGTGAGAGAAAAAAAGGTTAAAACATGAAAAGGTTGAAAGGAGTACGAGAAAGAAGAAGAAAACCAACAGGATTTAGTGTCACAGAGGCCAAGGGAAGAAAGTGGTTTTTTTGTTTTTTGAGATGGAGTATCACTCTCATTGCCCAGGATGAAATGCAATGGCATGATCTTGGCTCACTGCAACCTCCAATTCCCAGGTTGAAGTGATTGTCCTGCCTCAGCCTCCTGAGTAGCTGAGATTACAGACATGTGCCACCACGCCCAGCTAATTTTTTTTGTATTTAGTAGACGGGATTTCTCCATGTTGGTCAGGCTGGTCTCCAACTCCTGACCTCAAGTGATCTGCCTGCCTTGGCCTCCCAAAGTGCTGGGATTATAGGCATGAGCCACTGCACCTGGCCTGAAGAAAGTGTTTTAAAGGAAGAGGGCGCTGTCAACTATGAAGAACACTGCTAAGAGATCAAGTCATCTCTTAGGAAGAAGAGTGGAAAGGAGTCTTCACTACATTCAGAGTGTGGGGTCATTCATGACCTTAGGCAAGAGTCACTACACCAGAGTGATGGGGAATAAGCCAGACGAGGGAAAGATGAGGAAGAGAAGACTGAGAAGGATGTAACTCTTCATGAAGGCTGGCTGGGAGGGAGAGAAGAGTTAAACCTAGGGGGCTAACACTTTTACATTTTTATTTAGTTAGTTACTTGAAATGGAGTCTTGCTCTGTCGCCTAGGCTGGAATGCAGTGGCGTGATCTTGGCTCACTGCAACCTCCCACTCCAGGGTTCAAGTGACTCCAATTCTCCTGCCTTAGCCTCCTGAGTAGCTGGGACTACAGGTGCATGTCACCTGCGCCCAGCTAGTTTTTTGTATTTTTAGTACAGACGGGATTTCACCATATTGGCTAGGATGGTCTCAAACTCCTAACCTCAGACAATCCACCCGCCTGGGCCTCCCAAAGTGTTGGGATTACAGGTGTGAGCCACTGCACCAAAGACAGGAGAGGCACAAACATGTTCAGAGTTGAAAGGGAAGACCAAGGAGTGAGATGATGAAGGTGAAAGGTAATGATGGTGTAAAGACTGCCAGGACGACAGGAGAGTGGGGTTCAGGACAGAGGTGAAGGGACAGAGCAAACACAAGAAGAGTACCATCAACTCTCTAGGAGCACACAGGGAAACAGACAAATGTGGATCCTAGAAGATTACCAGGTTTATAACAGGAGCATCAATCTTTTGCTTTTATTTTTTAAGTAGGAAGAGAAGTCATTTACTGAGATAAAGGAGGGAGAGAAAAGGGAAGGAAAATCAGAGGTTTTAAGAAAGTAAGAGTAGGGAGCCTGGTGTGGTGGTTCACACCTATAATCCCAGCACTTTGGGAGGCCAACAATGGTGGATCACTTGAGGTCAGGAGTTCGAGAGCAACTCGAACTGGCCAACATGGTAAAACCCAATCTCTAAAAATACAAAAACCTCATCTACTAAAAATACAAAAATTAGCCACCATGGATAATTTAAATTTTGTATGTTTCATAGAGACTGGTAGTCTCAGCTACTTGGGAGGCTGAGGCAGGAGAAGAGCTTGAACCCAGGAGGCAAGAGTTGCAGTGACCTGAGATTGCACCACTGCACTCTAGCCTGAGTGATAAGCGTAAAACTTGGTCTCAAAAAAAAAAAAATTAAGGGCCAGGTGGCTCATGCCTGTAATCCCAACACTTTGGGAGGCCAAGGTGGTTGGATCATCTGAGGTCCGAAGTTCAAGACCGGCCTGGCCGACATGGTGAAACTCCATCTCTACTAAAATATACAAAATAAAATTAGCCAGGCATGGTAGTGTTTGCCTATAATACCAGCTACTCAGGAGGCTGAGGCAGGAGAATCACTTGAACCTGGGAGACAGAGGCTGCAGTCAACCGAGACTGCACCACTGCACTCCAGCCTCACTG